GGGGGGTATTGATCTGATGGGCAGTAGTAAGCACAGTGGGGCTTATTGATCTGATGGGCAGTAGTAAGCACAGGGGGTATTGATCTGATGGGCAGTAGTAAGCACAGTGGGGCTTATTGATCTGATGGGCAGTAGTAAGCACAGTGGGGTTTATTGATCTGATGGGCAGTAGTAAGCACAGTGGGGCTTATTGATCTGATGGGCAGTAGTAAGCACAGTGGGGCTTATTGATCTGATGGGCAGTAGTAAGCACAGTGGGGCTTATTGATCTGATGGGCAGTAGTAAGCACAGTGGGGCTTATTGATCTGATGGGCTGTAGTAAGCACAGTAGTGGCACGGGGTATTGATCTGATGGGCTGTAGTAAGCACAGTGTGAGGGGGAGGGTATTGATCTGATGGTCTGAAGTAAGCACAGTGGGGGCACGAGGTATTGATCTGATGGGCTGTAGTAAGCACAATGGAGGAGGGGACGGTGCGTATTGATCTGATGGGCTGTAGTAAGCACAGTTGGGGAGGGGAGGGGGCGTATTGATCTGATGGGCTGTAGTAAGCACAGTGGGGGGGGATATTGATCTGATGGGCTGTAGTAAGCACAGTGGGGGAGGGGAGGGGGCGTATTGATCTGATGGGTCAGAAAACCTTTATAGCAACCTACTTTTTCCAAACGTCCAAGCAGCAGTGAAAACAAATGGGATGTAGTTGCCCATTTCTTACAGGACAGGTAGCATTGAAAAGGTTAAAAAACAAAACTGCAGTCCCCACCCGCAGTCTCCATGTTCTAATCACGCATTCTTTCTCCACAGCTCACTTTGTTACTAAAGCTAGAAGATAAATTGAACAGACATTTAAGCTGTGACCTCCTTCCCAGTGAGTAGCTTCTTTCAAATGACTCAGTATGTTTCATTAGTGTTTCAAGGAACACTTGCTGACTTCTGTACGGTCCGTGCTAGGGATAGCAATGTTTGTCCTGCTTACTTACAGTCTTGTCCATGCTAGGGATAGCAATGTTTGTCCTGCTTGTTGACTCGTCTTGTCCATGCTAGGGATAGCAATGTTTGTCCTGCTTGTTGACTCGTCTTGTCCATGCTAGGGATAGCAATGTTTGTCCTGCTTGTTGACTCGTCTTGTCCATGCTAGGGATAGCAATGTTTGTCCTGCTTGTTGACTCGTCTTGTCCATGCTAGGTTAGGGTCGCTGTATTGATAAGATGTGTTCTGTTTCATAGATGAGAACATTCCGGAGCTGGCCGCAGAGCTTGTCCAGTTGGGATTTGTTAGTGAGGTAGGTACACTTTGCATGTGACTGCAGGTTTGTTGGTTTGTTTTGGTGTTGGCTGGGTTGGAGCTATCTGGGTAAAGCTGTGCTTGACTGCTGTGTGAAGAGCTTGATTGCTGGCTGGAGGTCCATGTTGTCACTCACTAATCTTCCCTCTCTCCCTACAGGCTGACCAGAATAGACTTGCATCTTTACTTGAAGACGCTTTTAGCAAATTTTACTTTGCTCGCAACGGTAACATGACAGCTGTGACGGTTTCATCATAGCCATGTCTTTCTGGCAGCAACACCAGTGAGGACATCGCCGCGTTAAAGTCTGGACTTCCATAATCCTTCTCTGCAGCGGTGCGGAGGTCCTGAATAGTCACATCTTGGGATGTAAATAGTGTCCAGCTGCCGGGGGTTCATGCCCAGCGCAGAACGATTTTCTGATCTATATTCACATGGTAGTCTGCTTCTGCTGCTCCGCTGAGTGTTATCCTGCGTTCCGGCTGTGGGTGGAGCCTTTTCTTTCTCCTGGTCTGTCTCATGCCAGGGACATTGTGTGGCATTGAATGTGGGTGAGGCTTGTCCTGTTACCCTGTTTACACAAAGAACGCATTCTGCATATGACACACATGGTTATCCAAACTCATTTATTCATTCATAATGTGAAGAGAACTTTGAATTAATGCATTAAACTGCCACCTAATGGGTACTGGAAATGCTGAGATTCATGCATTAGTAACCCCAGGCTCATTCAGCTCTTGGTTTACTATATTATATAATATTGGCGTATTCAGAACTCAGCTGATCAGAGGGTGGGTGAAATCGTCGTGCAAGGGGTGGGTTTATTACTGCTGTCTTTATCACAGGCCTCTCCCTTGTTTGGAATATGCTCCTTTAACTCTCTCCCTGCCACTCAAACTACAGTAATAATGCTGTACGGAGCTAGAACTCAATCCGCATGGCGTGGCGCTGTTCGTGTGCGTTTAGCTGTCTTTCCAGTGCTCTGCGTTACAGGCATTTGTATTGCAGTGGAGGAACATAGTGAGCAAGGTAGCTATATCTGTATTGTTTACACTAGAACTCTACAGCGTCATAACTAACTACTTGCATATCTCAATATGCATCCGAGACAACACTGTCAGAAATATCCGCAGGTTCCCCTAAACATTGCTTCATTCTCCCCATTTTGTTGCAGGAAGGGAGGAATCATACAAGCATTCTTATATCCTCTTATCTGGTCCCATCAGATCATGATGGGGGCGGCAGCTTTAGTGTAGCTTCATGCTGATACAAGAGGGAATCCTAGTGGAGGGCTGAGCTTTGATACTTGCACGTTGTTTGGGCCCTAGGAGGTGTCTGAAGTCTGTAGTAGTCTGAGGTAGGCAGATCCTGTTTTTAAAGCGGCTGTAAATTGCTTACTGTACTCCAAAACATTAATTGTAAGCATTGCTTCTTGGAAGAAATCAAAATCCATGTCAGAAAAGCTTCATTTTAGAGCAGGAGATTAATCATCGTGGTAAGAGGCGCCTGTCTATTGGCAGTAGTATAAAAGTTATGTGGGAGGAGTTCCTTTTTGGATTAAATGGTAGGAACTGCATGTAGGTCAAATGATAGGAGCTGTGTGTAACCTCTTGGGATGGAAGCTGTGTGACTAACCATGGGGTAGGTAAGGGGAAGGCAACATTTGGCACTTCAGATGTTGTGGACTACATATTCCATAATGCTGGCAAAGCATCAAGGGAGATGTAGTATACAACTTCTGGAGTGCCAAAGTATAACTCCCTGGGATGGGAACTGTGTGTGTATAATGGGAGGAGAAGGAACTGTGTGTATAATGAGAGGAGCGGATGACACCGTGGGGTAGGAGCTGCATTTATAATGGTAGGAGAGTATAACCCTGTGGGGTGGCCACTGCGTTTGTAATGAGAAGAGTATAAAGCTATGGGGTGGGAGCTGCGTGTGTAATGGGAGGAGAGTATAAAGCTATGGGGTGGGAGCTGCGTGTGTAATGGGAGGAGAGTATAAAGCTATGGGGTGGGAGCTGCGTGTGTAATGGGAGGAGAGTATAAACCTATGGGGTGGGAGCTGCGTGTGTAATGGGAGGAGAGTATAAACCTATGGGGTGGGAGCTGCGTGTGTAATGGGAGGAGAGTATAAACCTATGGGGTGGAAGCTGTGTGTGTATAATGGGAGGAGAGTATAAACCTATGGGGTGGAAGTTGTGTGTGTATAATGGGAGGAGAGTATGACCCTGTGGGGTGGGAGCTGCGTGTGTAATGGGAGCAAAGTATACCTGTGGGGTGGGAGCTGATATAATGGTAGGAGATTATAGCCCACACTATAATAGCTGCATATTGTGGGAGGATAGAAGTTGCAGTTCACATTTGCAGTAGGTGTCTTGGAGGTGCAGCATTGTTGACGTGTAGTGGCTGCATTTCTTGGAAGAAGAAATAACAGGTGGTTGTGGTGTTAGGCAGAGGTTCCAGCTAGTTTGGGTAGGAGTGTTCTCGATAACCAAGAACCTCCTGCCCTGCCTGATTCTCCTGTAGTGACCTTGTTGAGCTGTCCCTCGGTTCTGGCATTGCAGAGCAGCAAGCTCTCTTGTGTTTACATGGACTCTCTAAAAACCATTATTACAGTTTATTATACGGCTTATGGTGCAAGAAACATATCGGTGCAGTCACTGGGTTTGGGGTTTTTTTTGTTGGTAATTTCACCTTTGCTTTATCTAGCCACTTGTGTCTAAATTAGGACAGAAATGATTCTGTGATTATGTGAGTACGGGGCGGAAACTCCTCCAGCTCTTGCTGCTGTCCAAAGCTGAGCACCATTTTCTATGAAGCTTTTTGATAAAGACCGAGTGGCCCATACACAGTACAGTAATGGTAAGGTGGGCTATAAATGGCTGGTTTATCCCTTCCATTGGTCCGGGGGTGTCATGCGGATGGCCTGAGCACACTTCGCTGTGTGTAATTATCTCCTTCATGTAACCTGCAGGATGGGAAGAGGGGGATCTTCTGCCTATTTTATCGCTGTACGCTTTGCACAATATTAAAGTCTGAAAATCACCTGTATGTCCATGTTGTCCATTTTTATTTGCAACTATTTTTAGTTTTTCTTTTTTCTGTAAATAAAACTTGGTTTGTTGTATTTAAATGTGTTGTTTACTTTGTTTCATGCATTAGGGGTTTGAAATATCACTGAATGAAACTATAAGAGGTGGACAATATTATTATTTATATAGCGCCAACAAATTCCGCAGTGGTGTACAACGGGTGGACTAACAGGTACGTATATGTAACCAGACAAGTTGGACATACAGGAACAGAGGGATTGAGGGCCCTGCTCAGTGAGTTTACATGTTAGAGGGAGTGGGGTATAGTGACACAGTAACAGAGGGATTGACGGTCCTGCTCAGTGAGGTTACATGTTAGAGGGAGTGGGGTATAGTGACACAGTAACAGAGGGATTGAGGGCCTGCTCAGTGAGTTTACATGTTAGAGGGAGTGGGGTATAGTGACACAGTAACAGAGGGATTGAGGGCCTGCTCAGTGAGTTCGCATGTTAGAGGGAGTGGGGTATAGTGACACAGTAACAGAGGGATTGAGGTCCCTGCTCAGTGAGCTTACATGTTAGAGGGAGTGGGGTATAGTGACACAGTAACAGAGGGATTGAGGGCCTGCTCAGTGAGTTTACATGTTAGAGGGAGTGGGGTATAGTGACACAGTAACAGAGGGATTGAGGGCTTGCTCAGTGAGTTTACATGTTAGAGGGAGTGGGGTATAGTGACACAGTAACAGAGGGATTGAGGGCCTGCTCAGTGAGTTTACATGTTAGAGGGAGTGGGGTATAGTGACACAGTAACAGAGGGATTGAGGGCCTGCTCAGTGAGCTTACATGTTAGAGGGAGTGGGGTATAGTGACAGAGTAACAGAGGGATTGAGGGCCTGCTCAGTGAGTTTACATGTTAGAGGGAGTGGGGTATAGTGACACAGTAACAGAGGGATTCAGGCCCTGCTCAGTGAGCTTACATGTTAGAGGGAGTGGGGTATAGTGACACAGTAACAGAGGGATTGAGGGCCCTGCTCAGTGAGTTTACATGTCAGAGGGAGTGGGGTATAGTGACAGTAACAGAGGGACTGAGGGCCCTGCTCAGTGAGTTTACATGTTAGAGGGAGTGGGGTATAGTGACACAGTAACAGAGGGGTTGAGGGCCCTGCTCAGTGAGTTTACATGTTGGAGGGAGTGGGGTATAGTGACACAGTAACAGAGGGATTGAGAGCCTGCTCAGTGAGTTTACATGTTAGAGGGAGTGGGGTATAGTGACACAGTAACAGAGGGATTGAGGGCCCTTCTCAGTGAGTTTACATGTTAGAGGGAGTGGGGTATAGTGATGACAGTAACAGAGGATTGAGGGGCCTGCTCAGTGAAGGTTTACATAGAGGGAGTGGGGTATAGTGACACAGTAACAGAGGATTGAGGGCCCTGCTCAGTGAGTTAACATGTTAGAGGGAGTGTGGTATAGTGACACAGTAACAGAGGGATTGAGGGCCCTGCTCAGTGAGTTTACATGTTAGAGGGAGTGGGGTATAGTGACACAGTAACAGAGGGATTGAGGGCCTGCTCAGTGAGTTTACATGTTAGAGGGAGTGGGGTATAGTGACACAGTAACAGAGGGATTGGGGCCCTGCTCAGTGAGTTTACATGTTAGAGGGAGTGGGGTATAGTGACACAGTAACAGAGGGATTGAGGGCCCTGCTCAGTGAGTTTACATGTTAGAGGGAGTGGGGTATAGTGACACAGTAACAGAGGGATTGAGGGGCCTGCTCAGTGAGTTTACATGTTAGAGGGAGTGGGGTATAGTGACACAGTAACAGAGGGATTGAGGGCCTGCTCAGTGAGTTTACATGTTAGAGGGAGTGGGGTATAGTGACACAGGAACAGAGGGATTGAGGCCTGCTCAGTGAGTTTACATGCTAGAGGGAGTGGGGTATAGTGACAGTAACAGAGGGATTGAGGGCCCTGCTCAGTGAGTTTACATGTTAGAGGGAGTGGGGTATAGTGACACAGTAACAGAGGGATTGAGGGCCCTGCTCAGTGAGTTTACATGTTAGAGGGAGTGGGGTATAGTGACACAGTAACAGAGGAATTGAGGGCCTGCTCAGTGAGCTTACATGTTAGAGGGAGTGGGGTATAGTGACACAGTAACAGAGGGATTGAGGGCCCTGCTCAGTGAGTTTACATGTTAGAGGGAGTGGGGTATAGTGACACAGTAACAGAGGGATTGAGGCCTTGCTCAGTGAGTTTACATGCTAGAGGGAGTGGGGGTATAGTGACACAGTAACAGAGGGATTGAGGGCCCCGCTCAGTGAGTTTACATGTTAGAGGGAGTGGGGTATAGTGACACAGTAACAGAGGGATTGAGGCCCTGCTCAGTGAGTTTACATGTTAGAGGGAGTGGGTATAGTGACACAGTAACAGAGGGATTGAGGGCCCTGCTCAGTGAGTTTACATGTTAGAGGGAGTGGGGTATAGTGACACAGTAACAGAGGGATTGAGGGCCAGCTCAGTGAGTTTACATGTTAGAGGGAGTGGGGTATAGTGACACAGTAACAGAGGGATTGAGGGCCTGCTCAGTGAGTTTACATGTTAGAGGGAGTGGGGTATAGTGACACAGTAACAGAGGGATTGAGGCCCTGCTCAGTGAGTTTACATGTTAGAGGGAGTGGGGTATAGTGACACAGTAACAGAGGGATTGAGGGCCCTGCTCAGTGAGTTTACATGTTAGAGGGAGTGGGGTATAGTGACACAGTAACAGAGGGATTGAGGGCCCTGCTCAGTGAGTTTACATGTTAGAGGGAGTGGGGTATAGTGACACAGTAACAGGATCAGAGTTTGGGGGTAAGTAGACACTAAGTAGGATCACAGAGCTGGGAATGATGAGTATACTCTCAGTGGGATCACAAGCCGGTGGGGGCTGAGTATACCCTCCAATTTAGCTGTACTGCTTCAAAGTGTGTGCTTGGAAATCTTCTGGAGATACTCTGAAGGTAATCTGAGGCGTACAGGAGGACAAAAAAAAAATAAAATTAAGATTTGTTTTATTTAAATTATCCACTTCATTAAAATGGCAGACTTAGTTCAGTGTAATAGTTGTTATGCATTTGGTTTCACGTTCCACTTTTTGGAGATTTGGATGTTGTCTAAGCTGTAGACAGTTCTATATTGCGGCAGGAGATTGTATTTTTGAAGTCTGAGATTTGTAAAATATCTGGTAAACAAACTCAAACTGGAACTGTTGCAAGGCCACTGTGACAAACTGAACCTCGTCATGGGTTCTTGGAGGGGCCTGCTGGCCAGCCTCTTGTCTCAGGACTATGGCCCATGTGTTAGACTTTGGTTCAGGACTGTGGAAAGGCTTTGTTCGTATCTTTTCCCTTGTCTGGTTCGGTATATAGGATTTATCGAACGGATTATACTTGCGCAGTTCTTATGCCGAACTGTTGGACCACCCGTAAGTGGAGTGTGCAGCTCATTAACCCTATTGACCTCGTTAACTAGCTCTAACCACGACATTTTAAACGGTTGGCTGGGTGGCCGTTCGTATTGATCTGGTAGACTTAGAGTTGTGGATAAAAGTGTACTGGTGTTGTGGAGACCAGCTCTGGCACAGAGATTGTGGAACCACTATTCTTACGGCGAAACCAGCCTCGCCACTGTCCACTGGAGGAGCCTGGCTGCTTGCCTGCTCCCTTTAGACTATGGCCCGGCAGTTAAAACCTTTTATTTTCCCTGCAGAAAAGCATATTCGTGCCTTTCTGCAGACTGTTAAAGCCATGCTACCACAGATAGCTATGCCATGGAGCCCAGCCATATACTGAAAGACTGTATGAAAGACTTTGGCTCCATGGCGATTGAACTATATGTACGTGATTGGAGCACCATCCGGTAATAATGTGCGCTCAGATCGAAGCTATCTGGGGATAGGTAGAATGTGTATGTTCTATGTGATAAATGTAACAGTATGTAATTTTATGTCTTTTATTGTCCTTTGTCTGCCATGTGGCTAAAGGAGTTTTGCCTCTGGATGATAATAGGATTACTTCCCAATTATCTCCAGGACAGAGAGGAGGGATTGTGATGCATTGTGGGAGTGTTTAAAGGTGTATGTCTGTAATTGGTCAATGTCCAATATGTTTCCCAGTTTCTCATCTAGGGGAGTGTCCACCAGGTGGGAGACCTGCATAAAAGCCGGGCAGGTAGCCCCAGTAAATGAGTTCCTGCTTGACCCTGAAAACGAAGTGTTGTCTCGTTATTGGGGGAATTGGATTGTATGCTGATTGTATGCTTTTCATGTTCGGCTGTTTCCAGTATTCATGTGTTTCCTGTTCGGGAGTTGGTGAATTCGTGTAGTTTGCGGTTAGGGAGATTGGTGCTTAAAGTAGCTGTCGGTGCATCTGGAAAGGGGAATATCGCCTAAACGGTTTTCAACCTCTAATGTGTAAAACGGTCCGTTACAATTCTCAAAGCTGTGCAAGACTGCAGCCAAGAACGGAAAGGATAAGGTGCGGCCTGATAGAAAGCAGTTGTTGGGAGATCCTATTATAAGAGGTGTGAATCTGGAAAATAGGGTCCTTGTGAGATGTCTTCCTGGAGCTACTGCTCGCAGAGACAGACATATTATTAATATGGTTAAGCTAGCAAAGCAGGAAGGGGAATTGGTTGGTTGTAGTTGTCCATCTAGGGACAAATGACTTGGTTTGTAATGAGGTTTCAGAGTTAAAGGAAGTGTGGCAAAACTAGCCACTTAAGACTGTATTTCCATTCCTGTAATATTGTAGCTTTAAGGCTATCTAAACTGTGCATGTTCCCTTTTTCTGTATTTGATGCGAACTAGAGCATTCGTATGCTGGCGGCACGGAAGCCACCAGCATTCCTACAGTAGTTTCACGAACAGTGAATTTCAACACTGTTCGTGAAACGAACAAACTACCGAATGGGAGACCACACACAGGAGGTCGTGTGCCTCCCATTATGGATCGCAACATTGTATCTTTCAGCAATTAATAGATGTTCAGGGTGGCCGCCGTTCGGATACCGACCACGCGGCGGTCGGCCATCTTGGATCCTTTGTTAGCCCATCGGTATTT